CACTTCATTACACAACTAGAAATGCTACCACAGTACATCTACTTCATTACACAACTAGAAATGCTACCACAGTACATCCACTTCATTAACAACTAGAAATGCTACCACAGTACATCCACTTCATTACACAACTAGAAATGCTACCACAGTACATCCACTTCATTACACAACTAGAAATGCTACCACAGTACATCTACTTCATTACACAACTAGAAATGCTACCACAGTACATCCACTTCATTACACAACTAGAAATGCTACCACAGTACATCTACTTCATTACACAACTAGAAATGCTACCACAGTACATCCACTTCATTAACAACTAGAAATGCTACCACAGTACATCTACTTCATTACACAACTAGAAATGCTACCACAGTACATCTACTTCATTACACAACTAGAAATGCTACCACAGTACATCTACTTCATTACACAACTAGAAATGCTACCACAGTACATCCACTTCATTACACAACTAGAAATGCTACCACAGTACATCCACTTCATTAGACAACTAGAAATGCTACCACAGTACATCCACTTTATTAGACAACTAGAAATGCTACCACAGTACATCCACTTTATTAGACAACTAGAAATGCTACCACAGTACATCCACTTTATTACACAACTAGAAATGCTACCACAGTACATCCACTTCATTACACAACTAGAAATGCTACCACAGTACATCCATTTTATTACACAACTAGAAATGCTACCACAGTACATCCACTTCATTACACAACTAGAAATGCTACCACAGTACATCCACTTCATTAGACAACTAGAAATGCTACCACAGTACATCCACTTTATTAGACAACTAGAAATGCTACCACAGTACATCCACTTTATTACACAACTAGAAATGCTACCACAGTACATCCACTTCATTACACAACTAGAAATGCTACCACAGTACATCCACTTTATTACACAACTAGAAATGCTACCACAGTACATCCACTTCATTACACAACTAGAAATGCTACCACAGTACATCCACTTCATTACACAACTAGAAATGCTACCACACTACATCCACTTTATTACACAACTAGAAATGCTACCACAGTACATCCACTTCATTACACAACTAGAAATGTTACCTCAGTACATCCATTACACAAGATGAAACGAGAGTATTGTAGGATCTTTGTGCCAGTGATCTGCTTGTGTAGTTGCGAAAAGTGGTCTCAAATTATATAATCATCGTAAAAAGAATTAAAATTATTTTAAAATATGGTAAGCGATAAAATAATGGTGACATTTTTAAAAATTAAACCCGTTTGGGACCATTAATTGCATTTATTTTCAAATTTTTGTATTAATGATAAATGATAAGCCGTTGAAAAAAAAAATTATTTTATCAATTAAATTTTTTAATACCGTCCTGTCCCTGTCAACAAGAGTGGCCAGAGAAAGTAAAACAAAAAAGTCACATTAAAGGTTTTACAAAGATAAAAAACAAATTGTTTAGGGCGAAGAGTTTTGCAAATGGTAGACTTTTTCAGTTCGATTCAAAATGTTTAAAATGTATTTGCGAATCTTTTTATTGTGATGATCTCACTATTTTAAGACTATGCTCAAATGTTATATTACTAATGATAACTTGTTTGAATATTTCTAGCCTTAATAAAAAAAAAACGGAAGTTATTCTGTACTTATTTCACACATTTTTATAAAATATTCAAATTTGGTTGAAAAATAAGCTTTCTTGTAACTACAACTTTGAACCGCTTTTCAAGCTTTTGATTCTTCGATATTCAATTTTTTGCAGTAAGGTTAAGAGGGGGGGGGGAATAGCAGACACTGAATAAAGAAAATTTTATAATTTATCTTTTTTCGTCCTGTGTGAGGGGGGGGGGGGGACGTCGATACGTACTCAAAATTAATAACAAAATATAGATATTAAGGAATGCACTATTACAATTAGTTTTTTTTTCTTTTACGCTTTATGCTTGGTTAAGCCTATTGCTTTACTTCTGAACGCCGTTTAAGATACTACTAGTACTACACATCTACTGCGTGCGGGAAAAATCTTAGCACATGTTAATCTACGCTTTGTAACTCAAAGCATGTGTCGTTCGTTGCATCATCAGCCGCGGCAAGTCGAGCCGGCGAACAGCTGCACCGCCCCGTGTCGCGTCTCCAATGCCAACCTTGAGGGACAGGCCACGATTGAAGCGACATGGCCGGATAAAAATAGACGAGTGAGTCATGCATTTGAAGGGGGAACAACGATCGGCCACACGGACATTTGCGAGAGGTCCATTCCAGATTAGATTTAGAAATTAGGACGGGCATGCATTCTGTGCCAGCATGCCTTAATTATTTGTTGGAACACAGCCAAAAAAAAAACGAGAGTTCATCTGTAGCGAGGGGTTGTTTTGATAACCAGTATCAAATAGTAAGCTTCTCTGGTTCTCAATCTAAATGGTTCTCCATCAATAAATTTATGAATACTTTTAGATTTTTATTTTCAACTTTGTAACGAATAGTTTAGATACTGAATAGATAAAAGTTTTTAAAATATCACGAATACATGGGACATTTTTTTTCAGAAGCGTTCTACTTCAGTGTTGTGTTGTAAGGACAGGATGGCTAGTGTCACCCCCTTCTCTTCCTGGTTGCACTAGTCACACTCAAAGAGCTATCAATTTTGGTCCCTTCCCCCCTCCCCCACGCGACTTAAGCGTTTGACAATATGTATTTTTTGTCACAATTGGTGTAAAAAAGCTAATTATATAAGACGCATTACTGAAATCGAAGTTAATGCTTGAATATGGACTGGCTGCTATTTTAATAATTATCCTACCCTGTTTAGCGACACCAGCCTTCCCCTAGCTATGCCTCAGGTTCTGCGACTAGAACGGCTAGAGATGTATATTCTAAATGGTTACATCAATCACAGCGTGCAGGTCTTAAGAAGTTTCGAAAAGAAACCAATACCAATGACAAGAACTGACGTGCTTCAGTCTTGAATGTCCTCGGCCCCGTATAATAACCTACTGTATGGCCAAACTCCGCATAAGGATGTACTGGCAATCTTGTAAGGATATACAGATCGAGGTCTTAAGGCTTTGATAGATTTTAAGAGAGGTTGCTGTACACCGTATTCAAAAAAATCTGAGGCAAAGACTATGTAACACTACCAAATCCTGAGGCAGAGCGTGTGCACAGGGATGTGACCAGACCAGGAAAAAAAATTAGGAAATTTTTTTCGGATAATAACTCAATATGTTTTATCTACTTTTTATCGTGGTTAAGCAGCTTTATACTGTTACTGTACTAATTAATTGTTTAATGAAGTTAATATTTTAAATACAAGAAGTTTATGTTACTCTAAAATAACATTGAAAGTCTAGTCTAATTGCAATTTGATGTTTACCTTATAAACAACTTTTTAAAAATTACAATGTAACAAAAGTAGCAATTAAGTTTTATTTTACCATTAAGCTAATTTAATCTGTACTAATCTAGTGTAGATTCTAGATGTACCCCTGTTTTAAATAGGGGGCCAAAAGCCTAATATATATTCTTTTAAAGATTGGATTGGTAAAAATATTTGTCTTCAACTGTAAAGACCCTAGATTAAGATTAGTTACAATTTGAAAGTTTTAGGTTCATGTGATGGAAAAAATGAAATGGACCAGGTTAGCTAAAATTAGAAAGGGTCTGACGTGTGAACCAATTTCATTATGATAACCAAGCCACATCGATATTTTTGTTTTTTAGGAATAGCTGTAAATTGTTAGGGGTCATCCACGTTTTTTTTTACCTCCCCTCTCTCCTACAAAAGCCAGACTCCCCCCACAGTCTGAACGTATTTTTTCTTCCACAAACAAGACACGGTCGTAGTCACGTTGAGTTTAGTATATTTTTTTATCTGTAGGCCTACGAAGCATACGTATTGCAGGAACAGCTATTAGAAATTGACTGTGACGTCATTTTTTTTTCCACAAGCAGTACCGAAAACGTACTTGGGGTCAAGGTGAGGTCACAAGAGCCACCGTTGCTACGAGGTGGGGCGGGTTAGTCTAGTCCTCATAGTCACCTTTTGCAAGGATTTCAATATTAATTTGAGATTGCGAAATAAAATAGAATCAGAGAGAAACTGTAGATTTAGGCGGGTTAAAATACCGATAGGTAAATTAGGCTATATCGATAGCTAGATTACCAGGCTTAAGAGATGTAAGTTTTAATTAAATAACTGCATTATTTTAGATTACCTTTTCCGTGTTTTTGTTAAATAGTTAACTTAAAATATCAGCGGAAAATTTGGGCTAAAAAAAGTGTGCTTTGAAAAATTCGAAAGTCCGCTGAAATTCCGAATCTTAATCTACATTTAATCTTGATCTAGCACCGTCAGACCTAGCGCAATCGACCAATCGAAAAGAAATGCGCATATTCGCGTGTCCGTTTGACCAAAGTACAGTAGTTGTCGATTTAAATACGAATACGTGGAATGAGCATGTCGGCCCTTTCCGTAGAAGACATTTCCGTTTTTTTTCCTAATTTTTAAAACTTCGTAAAAAATCGACAAAAATTGAAACTCGGCGGAAAAATTCGGCGAAAATTAAATCAGCGGAGGAAAATCGCAACTGAAACGGAAAAATCGGATTTCCGCTAAAATTCGGAAAAGTCACATCCCTGGTGTGCAGCATGAGGCACTAAAGTATTACAAATTTGACATGTCAAGGATACAATCGTGAGGCACAATTCATTGAATATGATCTTCCTGGTAAACAAAGGGTTGCTAAACACAGCAGCAAAGGCTTTACCAAGAGGAAGATGAAATTTAATGGTTAAGGGCCCGATATTCCACGTCAACCATGGAAAATTCAGATATTCACAGAAAACAAAAGAGGGAACAATTTATGTTTCGCTACTCGACTCCAGGTGATTAAGTGAAGTCATTGGATTATGGGCGAATACCTCAAAAAACATTGAACACCAGTGTTTTAAATTATGAAAACAACAAAAACATAATTCATTTGAGATAAAAGTTTAATGGAGACATTAACATTCTAAAATAGAGAACAAAAAGCTTTACAATGATTGAATACACATGAACACAGCGATATTTCATCTCATGTTTAAAAAAACATCTTTCCCTCCCCCATCCCAGCCCTGCCCATCAGTTCCCATCCCATGCCCCACCCCATCCCCCCAACAATAAAATCTAGTCGGAATCATCAAAAGATGTCTTTTTTCCTTCACTCCTGACAATACCACCTCGTGCTGTGAAATTAAAAAAAAAAAAGTTAAAAACAAATTGAAACAAAAATTTATTACATTAACCAGCTGACCGCATCAACAATGTGTGGGCTTACTGGCTTAGATATACAATAGACTGTTACCATATGCTATACATTAAAACATACTAGTAAATTACATTACCTTTGTTAAAACCTCCTCGTCCACCACGTCCTCTATCACCACCCCTACCCCTGCCTCCAAATCCTCTGCCTCCTCCAAAACCTCTACCTCCACCAAATCCACGACCACCACCTGTAGAACAAAGTTTATAACATAAAATAATGCAATTCATCAAATTACCGCCTCCAAAATAAAAATCAAATACAACTTATTTATTTTTAGCTGTCACTTACCTCTTCCACCACGTGGGCTTCCATAACCACCGCCGCCACCACCACTTCCTTTATCAGCGGCAAAATCTAAAGTTACTTGTCTGCCATCAATGGCTTGTCCATTCATTGAATCAAAAGCTTCAGCAGCTGCCTCAGCAGATTTAAAATCCACAAAAGCAAACCTATAATAAAAAATGTCATCCAATGAAGCAATGATTGCATATGTGAGAGTAAGCGATTTTGGATACAAGAATTGTATATGAAAGTACTTGGGGGAAACAAGACAGAAAGGAATACACAAGTTTAGACAGTAAGTGGTTGTTATGCTGGATAAAGGTTGTCTGAACAAGCCACCCAATATTTAGTCTAACCATAAATGAAAAGGTGAACTTTCGTAATGTTTATAACCAACATTTAAAAAAAAATTAAAACATCCACACCTCTTGAAGATATACCTATTTGCTTGTGTGTAGCACTCAGAGGCATAATTTCAAATTCTCTAGCCTGGCTATTGTCACCCCTTAGGCTTAATATAAGCCATCAGAGTAAAAATTTTAAAAATGACAAAGTAGCAAGATACTAATAACAAACATACCCTTTAGGTTTTCCGGAGTCTGGGAAAGTTGGAATTCTTGCTGACACTGCTCCATCAAATGCTGCTGTTAGAGAACCCTCATCTGTGTCATAACTGAGATTCTTTACAAACAAAACCTTGGATTCTCCTCTCAAACCTGGAAATTAAACAAACTCATTAAAAACCACCAACAAATTAAAGAAAACTGTTAAGAAATTAATCAATAACCAGTACTTACCAGAGTTTCCTCCCCTTCCTCCACGTCTGTCACCACCACCCCTGCCTCCTCTGTCACCACCACCCCTGCCTCCTCTCTTGAATGAACTTTTGGCTCCCATATAATCCAAATACAAGGAACTGCCATTCAATTCTGCACCTTGCTTTTCTGACATAGCTGCCTCTAACGCTTCACTATCAGCAAATTCTACAAAACAAAATCTAAATAGAAAATAAGAGATGATTAGTGAAGATATAAAACTGCAAACTGAAGACAAAACAAAAAATCAACAAGACTGAATACCTAATTAAAAACAAGTATTAAAAGGATAGTACTCACCCTTTGTGATAACCATCTCTCTGTGGTATCCTGATGTCTGAAGCTGAGTCAAATATTTCTTGTAAGCTTTCAACTGTGGCATCCTCTGGTAAATTTTTAACAAAAAGTGTCCTGGTGTCCTCTGTAGAGGGGGAGAAAAATGTTTGATTATACAAATACCTAAGATGCTTAAAAATTGGTTTTACAGCGGCAGCCGGAGTATATCAAAACCAGGTTTTAGATTTAAAGCAGAAATAGAAACTTACTGTCGCCACTGTCACCACCGCTAAATGATTTGTTTTGTGGCTCTTTAACTCCTCTAGGTTTAGCTTTTTCAACTGTAATGCTATTCCCACTAATGTCACTTCCACTTAAAGCCAGAGCTGCGTCTAGCTCACTAGCATCCTCAAGATCAACAAATGCAGTCCTAGATTAATAAAATATATAAATGTTTACAAAAAGCTTGGTGTGGAAAACAAAAATGAGCCTAACTAAAATTAGATTAAAAAGCGTACCCTTTGCCTTGTTGCTTCCTCACTGCAGCAACTTTGACATCATTGTCTGTGAAAAAATTTGTGATCTCATCCTCAGATGTATTCTTGCCAACATTTCCGACAAAAAGTGTCACTGTCTCTGAATCTCCATTTACAGCAGATTCTAAATTTAATAAAACATAATAGATTAACATCTGTAAAAAATATAAAAACAAAATAAAAAGTGCATTAAAAATGAAACATACCATCTAACTTGGGCTTTTTGGATGATTTGTCTTGTTTTGTTTGTTTTTGGTCAATCTTTCTCTTAGCTGGTGCAGGTGTTTCCTCTTCTTCATCATCATCTTCATCATCATCGTCGTCATCATCATCTAAACAAAATTTAAATGAATTACACAAGTTCAAAGGTAAAATCTACAATGCATGAATAAAATAATCAGTATATATGTACCTACCATCTGAATCCTGTGGTTTTTTGGCCTTTTGTCCATTAGCAGCTTTACCTAAACAAAAAGAAAATCAAATAAAACCAAGAAAGTGGTAAGAAAGGTATATTTAGCACCTTATGGGTTCACCCTCTGAAGTTTTAGAAGATAGGCACTAATAGCCATAGCAATCCATAGTGAAACACTTAGAACATTGATTACGCTATTTACCTTTAGCAGGCACTGGTTTCTCTTCTTCTTCATCATCGTCATCCTCACTATCGTCACTGTCACTTTCCTTAGCCTGTTTCTTTTTAGCTAAAGATGACACAAAAGCAACAAATTAGATGGACGAAAAGTATAATGAAATGGTAACAGTATCTTCATTTGTGTAAGAGATGTTTAGGAAAACCTAATCAGATACACATCCAATACTTAAGTACCGTTTTTCTCTTTCAACGCAGCCTTTTGAGCCTTTTTCATTTTTTTATTTGCATCACCGGCCTTTTCATTTTTTTTCTGTTTGGCTGAAAGTACGATGTTATCTCATTACCAATTTTAAAAATGTACATTATAAGAAGAAATGGAAACCGCAATTCAGTATAAAAATACCTTTATCCTTCGATTGTTTTGGAGGTGGAGCCACTTCTTCCTCTTCACTTTCTTCTTCAGAACTATCACTTTCAGGCTGTGGTACAACCTTAGCAGTTTTCTTTGCAGGTTTCTCAACTTTAAAAGACAAGATAAAAAATAAAGAAATGCCAGAACAAATATGAGAATGCCATTATTAGATCGAATAAATGGTGCTATCGAGGTAATACCTTCCATTTCCTCCTCACTATCATCAGAATCTGCTTTCTTTACTGCTTTTACTTTAACAGGCTTTTTCTGTACAGGCTTCTGTTCAATTTCCTAGGAAAATCAGAACAAGATGTATAACTTTTTCAAGCAAATCCTGACATATATGGGACAATAAATAAAATACGCAGTATGTTGGGGTAGGGGGAGTCAGGAAATTGAGCAAATCTTGCCCAAGGTTAAGATCATAGTTATTTTTTAAAAACAAATTTTTTAATTTAGATGATGCTGGGAACTAAAAAATCTATGCATTGCAAATTGAAAACAAGTTGAATGACTCACTAAGGTAGATTAGGGTGCGACTCATTTTATACAATAATCAACAACTTAATGCTTACCTCTTCTTCTGAAGAATCATCACTGTCTTCTTGTACTGCTTTGGTTGGAGTTGCTTTTTTGCCCTTTGGTGTAGCAACTTCAGTCTGAAAAAAAAAACAGACACAAATAAACAACCTAGGAATAGTATCCAGCTGTAAGCGATTGCTCTTTAAAATTGATGTTAGTTCTGTTCGACAAATAGTTTGTCCAGTGGAGATAAAAAAACGTCCAACGGTGGTTCTTTTATATAAATTTCCATTAATTGAACAGACTTGTTCTTTTTGAATCTTTTACTCTGACTAATCATATAGGATACACGATTGCTTATGCAGGTCTGAATCTTGAATTCATAAAAAATGTGTAGGCCTATAATTTAATCACAATTACTTCTAAAAACAAGAACCACAGTTTTTAACTCTGCTGTGTGTAGTTTTTTTCAGCATGCTAATGTTTAAAAAATGGAAGTTCATTTACAGCATACATTACTTTCAAATTTGAATGTTTTTAAGGCAAAATAAAAATGTAGAAACAAATGCACCAGGTTATAGCGGAAACTAGATTTTTAAAATGTGATTGGTGCAATTAAAATAAAGGCCTTGGCCTATATATTTTTATTAACAAAGTTGGTGAAAATTAAAACTTTAGGGAGAATGTTTACACCGGTGTCTGATAATGTAATCTTTAAAAAAGGGGTGTTAGGTTACTGGTAGTTAACTAAATACACACATGGCTGGCTAATGTCAATGCTAACCCTGTCCCTAACCCTAATTTCTAACCATAAAATTAGTCGAGATTACAATACTACTAACAACCCAACACCCCTATTTTAAAGATGATTCCATTATCGGACGCTGGTATCTATAATAATCCCATTTTTATCTAGATACCTTCACATAATTTTAACCATATAGAGATCTAGGAAGAGGCAAGCTGTTTGTAGCCATGGAACTTTTTTTCAAAGTTTGATCTATAACTACACATTCTAGTCACATGTATTAAAAATGACTATTTTTCTTGCAGATTATTTTGATGCAGTTTTTGTTATATGTCGATAGTTCTGTTGAATTTCTATTATATCTAATAGGACCTATGATTTCTAAACACCCAATACTTGTAGGCCCTACACATTTTTAAAGAAGTGACTATGCTGAGCAAACTCAATGCTGCCACGTCTCCCCAATAACAAGTATGCACAAGCATTCTTTTCATATGCCATGTAACTTTTTCGTCAATTGATATCTATTCTGGTGGTTGTAGTTGCGTGCATGTTTTCGTTACGTGTATTTAATCATGGAAGAATAGATAAACATGCCTCCCATATTTCGTGGCTACTGGTTTGGAAATTCAACAAGATTTGTTTTTATTGATCCCTGAAAACCAGAAGGCAACATTTGTTGAAGAGAAAGTTTTAACCATGATTCTATTCTTAATCCTTAGATTGTTAAATATTTAAACATGAATTTCTAAAAAACGAATGGTCACTACGATCCCTTGCAAGATTTCTTATGCTTGAAACAAAAAGGGGATTAGATACATAACCGTGTCTGATAATAGAAGCTTAAAAAGCGGCGTTAGGTTCTCACTGGTGTTGGTAGTCAACTAAAATACGATGTTTGCCTGTTAATCAGTTAATGCTAACACTGGCCACTATCCCAAAATGTCAGCGTCAATTCAGTCTTAAAAAATGGTCACAATTTGATGGCTCCTAAAAATTATAGGCCAAACCAATTGCGAAGACAGTGGCATGATTGAAGGCTGCCACTTGAAAAGGGTGGAATTTCTTGTTTCAACTGTAGCAGACTGAGTCTTTTTGGGAGTTTTTAATCTAGAGAATCTACTTGACTTTCTATCTAATGAATCATAACGAATAGACAGATCTAGATTCTAGATCTATTATCTACTTAGCAATGGATTATGTTACATAAATTAAAATTAAAAGATCAGGGCTTAAGTCAATCCATTTGTAAAATACCAATATCAAAATTTTAAACGGCACGTGTTCAATTTCTGACAAAATGACAACACGTGGTTTCGATGTTTAAAAATATTGGCTTCTTCTTTTAATTTATTATAAGTATACTATTTGAGGTGACATTCATGCAGATGTATTTGACTAAATAATTGCATGTACTAAACTAAGATCACATTTTACCTTTTGTTTCTTTGCTCCTTTTTTACCCATTTTAGTTTGTGAAGTGGTGGGACGATTCTACTCAGATCTGAACAACACTGGTCTGGGAAATGGCAGCCTCAATCTATGCTTTCAGTATTTAGCGCCCTAGATTCGTATTCAACTTCATATAGTCCTAATAGAATTATGCGAATATATTGATAAAAAAACAAAAACTTTCAATTATTATATATATGAAGTTCAAATTATAAATATTGTTTCTATTATTTTAACACTATTTTATACGTGTATACGCAAACACGGTCAATTATAAAAAGCTAAATATTTGAATATTCATTTGACCTTTGACCCAAATACGCGCGTGTCCAGAGCATAGCCATCTGACTGAAAATTAAGCTAGCTTGACAAACTCAATAAGCTTTTATGTAATTGTGCACTAAAACGTAGAAATCAAATTATTATTGTGATATATTATAATGAACCACTTCTTAAACAAAAGAGTAAATCGTGGCTCGCTTTTTTAATTTTAGTAAAGGTATTAAATCTATTTGTATTTTTCTAAAAACAAACGTATGCGTGTTTGTGTGCTTATATGCATTGTTACACCATTCACGTAGGGGGGGGGGGGGGGGAGGTACTTGATTTTTTTCGGGGTGGGGGGGCGGACAACATTTTCCGGGGGGGGCGGATACTGGGGGGTAGACTTTTTCGGGGCGGGAGGGGCGAATAGATGCCTGGAAGAAACTCTGACCACATATTATTCAGATCGTCATGAGTGTAATTTTAGCGCCGAGATTTCCTCAGCAATTATGACGCCTACGTTCATTTTAAAGAGCGATACAAATCAGCTACTATAATAGTTGACTTAATCAAATCAGGCGAGTCCGTCGGTGCCCATATTATAGGCCTACTACACAGTGGCGTAGCGAGGTCGGGTGTCACCCGGTGCGGCACTTAATGGTGTCACCCCTCAGAGGCGTAGCGACCCTTCCCGGGGACTAATGTCCAAGTTTTCGATTTGCACCCCCCCCCCCTCAAGTTATCGTTCTGCAACCCCCCCCCCCCCTTGAAATGGTGTCACCAGGTGCGGTCCGCACCCCCGCCCCCCCCCCCCCCTCGCTACGCCCCTGCTACTACCGATCTTTAGTTTTTGAGCCCACGATTTCATAATGTATAACTTCTCTAGGCCCTAATAAAAATTACATTTTTATAATTACTTAATATTTCTTTAATTAAATCCCGAACACGTTTTAATAAAAAATAATTGTAATGTCCAAGGCATTACAATTTTGCCTTTAAACCAGTTTAGGTATTAATTACAAAAAAAATAATTATTTAAAAAATATAATTTAACCAATTTTTCCTTGACCAATATTTTGTTTTAAGTGTATCGACATATTTTCAGTTTCCGTCTGACATGAATAAATCTATAGGCCCACCAGAATGTGCTCGTGAGATCACACATAATCAACTGACTATGAAAACCAGAGTTTCTTCAAGGCATCTCTTCGGGGGGGGGGGGGGGGGGAATTAAAGCCCCCCCCCCCCCAAAAAAAAAAATTCTAGTGCCCCCCCCCCCCGGAGAAAAAAGTCTGGAAGAAACACTGATGAAAACGGGCAGATAAAAAAAAGTAATAGGCTAATTATATAGGTTTAGAACGGAACATAATTAACATTAAAAAACAAAAGAAGGGGTGAGGGGGAATGACTGTCACATAGGCCCTACTCTTAAAACTAGATCTACTTTTTTTCTTAATAATAGACTCAGTATAGTTGTAAAGCGATCTCAATACGTTTAATGATAATGAACTTGGCAGATGCAAGTGTTCGAAGAAATCGAGCCTTTCAGCAAACAAATATTTAGCCCTGTTCATCCGAAGCTGTTTCTGCAGGATATAGACAAGCAAAGAAGCTGGGGAAATGGCTACCATGAGGTTGGGGTGGGAAGGGGTGATTGTACTGCGGGATGGGAAGGAGGGGTAATAACATGTGGGTAATGTCTACACAGCATTATATTTATAAAAACTGTCTAACTCCATTTGCGGGTACTCCAATAAATTTATAAAATCTTGCATGTTCTCTAATTTTTATATAATTCTAGAAATGTATAGTATACATGTCGTAAGTGTAAACGCGGTATACAAACATCATTGTGAACAACTGAATATTATCAGAACGAGTGCCCTTGTGCGGTTCGCAAGCCCGCCTCTCCCTCGCTAAGCCTCTTGTGTAAACTATCATATAAAGTTATTAGCCTACCTTTTTAAAAAATTAGGACTAGTTGTCTGGCACAAATGGCATCACTAAGCGCTTGCGCCGGACTTCACCCTGTTCTCTGAGTGTTTTACCCTAACCTCCTCCATTTTTGCATTTTCGCTGTGTATCGCATTTAAAACAAGACAAACCGAGAAGCTACAAGATCCAGTGGCTTAGCTAGGGGGCAGAGACGCCGCTAGTCGGGGCAGTAGCGTAGCGAGGGGGGGCGGGGGGGGACATATGTCCCCGGGCGCCGACCTTAGGGGGGGGCGCCAAATTGAAAGTTTGAGAGGGGGGTGCAAATGAAAAGTTCGAGGGGGAAGGGGGTGCAAATCGAAAGTTTGAGGGGGGGGGGGGGGGGGTGCAAATGAAAAGTTCGAGGGGGGTGCAAATCGAAAGTTTGAGGGGGGGGTGCAAATGAAAAGTTCGAGGGGGGGTGCAAATCGAAAATTTGCTCCCAAGGGGGCGCCAAATTGAAAGTATGTCCCCGGGCGCCGGGAAGGGTCGCTACGCCTCTGAGTCGGGGTGTGGGGTGGACCATTTGTTTTAGGGGGTGGGGGTGAAGTGACACTAAGACAAAAACTCTTATGTTGTGCCAAGCAACATGTTGAATATCTAATAAAGCATTACAGGCATCCGCGGCTGCAAAGTCACAATCTCCAACCTTAGTATGTCCGTGCATTTTAGTGACCAGGAGTGGCTATGAAAAATATTTAATTTTTTTTTTTTTTTGCAAACTCTGTTTCTTTTAAGTTCGTCACGCATGGGCCCCGCGCCGTCGACCTGAGAAGCCGTTTCGTGATACAAAATAATAAATGTTGACAAATAGATGTGAAAATGTATCCAATGCAGAGCATAACATTCAACCCGTCGATTGCGGGCTCTGAACTTATGTTGTATTTTTTTTTTTTTTTACTGTTAGGCCTAAATGGTTTTTTCCGCAATATGTTAGCAGCGCCGGTTTTGCGTTATGGATATGTTGTTTGTTAATTCAAAAGTATTATAAAACTTGATGTTTCGTCGTTTGCTTGTCTTACGACTGACTTAGTGCGAGATACGTATTTGGGCATCAATATAAGCTGATCACGTAGCCATTGGAAATCGCGTAGGCCTACATTAAAACGCTCCTCAGCCCCGGTTATCGGGTCCACGGTGGGAAATACCATCCCGCATCAATATGCTAGGAATACTGCCTGTGATTTCTAAAAATGCTGGGGGAAAAAATCTGCTTTCTAGAATGACTGGAATGAGGCGTCGAGGACGGGGGGGACGAAGCTCCCCCCCCCCCCCCCGAAAATTTTTTACCGCCCCCCCCCCCCCCAACCCCGAACGAAATGAAATTTATATAATTTATATAGAAAATATATACTTTTACAGTGTCCGCCCCCCGAAGAAAGTCTACCGCCCCCCCCCCCCCCCCCGAAAATTTCAAGTGCCCCCCCCCCCCCCCCCCAAAGAAAAAAGTCTGGAAGAAACACTGCATTTAGGGGGTTGACACCAAGACGAAAAATTGCTGTATAGAATAAATATGTTTTTTGTCAGTTCAATGAATGGTTAATTAGAGTTAAAAAATAATTTAAAATATATAATGATGATTCAGACAAAGGGGGGGGGGGGTTACAGCAGGACGTAAACATGCAAACTATAGAAAAAACGATGCTACATCGAGCTGTATAAACAGCTGACAACTGACATGTTAGATAAACATCTTTAGTATTAAATGTGAACACTTTAAAGCTTTTACCGGGGGGGGGGGGGGGGGGTGACACCAACTGCAAAATTTACAGTAATATACAAAAAGGAGAGGGATGACACCGTGAGGTGCCGCATCCGGTGACACCCGACCTCGCTAGAGGAAGAAATAGTTTAACACAGCTTTTTCTTTTAAATTTGTTTCAAATGCAGATGCTGCACAATCGTATTTTTTCCCTGTCTCGAAAATAAAGCATTTGAACAAATATATCTTACAACATATCCATAATATAATCTACCTACATTTTACCTAGGTAAATAGATATTTTCATTTTATGCATACATATTTTAATGTGTTTTATGGTGAATTCTCGTTTTGTACGAAGCACATTATTTTTTTATGTGGTGTGTGTTGTTTGCAATCAGTTTCAGATTTTTAAAATAATAAGGTATAGGAGACTGATGTATCACATTTCTTAAATTACTGTTACACTTTTTGTTGAATTTTCAGTTTACGCACTGTTATTTGTGTGCTTTATTTCTGTATGCAGTTTTCTGTTTACGGGAATTTGTTTTCGTATTTTTAAAAGATTCTTTACAATAGTACTTTGACATACAAGTGCCCCGACATACGAGATTTTTTTTAGATACAATCGAGCTAAAAGTTGCTTTGAGATACGAGCAAAATTTGAAATACGATAACCGGACTCGCTGGTTTAACAGTTCTTGGAAAAGAAACACCCCCGAAAAAGTTGCAACTGGTTGTGCATCGGAGCTCACGTTAGATTCTTATAGAAATATTCTGAAAGGAGAAAAAACAAACCTCCTTGGACAGGTTTCTTTGAACGGCCTGCCTGGAAAAGTTGGAAAAGTGTGGAAGGCGTCGCAAAAGAAAGCAAAGACCAGCGAAGATAAAAACAGTTACGAAAATGAAGCGAAATTAACAAAGGATTAAATAGTCACATTTAGATTCAATTATGTTCGGTGAAGTTAAATTAAGGGATAATGTGTAGCATTAAATAAAAGAGTAACGAGTAAGTATAGTAAAGTAACCGAAACGGTGTATAGCATTTACAGTGAGTAAGTGAACGAATTGAAGCTCTTCTCACTACAATGCGCCTACATTTCTACCGCCATCTTCCAAAAGCTGAATTTGAAGGTCAATAGAATTAATAAAACCTGCCTATTTATTTGCATTATATTTTATTTTGTCAATAACCAATATTCGTATTATATATATATAAAGATATTTTTTTAAAAATTCAAATACACGTACGTAACAAAAGCAATTGGGTGATATTTTGGGGGCTGGAATAGATATTTGCATTTCAATTAATTTCAATGGAAAAATTGCTTTGAGATACGAGCAACGTAGTCATGGCAGCTAAGTGCATTTTTTTCCACGGGGAGTCAAAAGGGATATTTTAGTCAACTTTCAAGGATCGATCGTGCTATTTGTCAAGTGTTAGTGAGCCCTAATTTGTATTGAAATTTTTTTTCTCGATTTTAACGAAATATTTAATGAAATATCAGATGATTAGATAAAGTAATTAATTTATTTTTAAAGGAACTAACAGGGTATTCAATTGTCTTGCGGCGAATCTAACTGGTCTTAAATTGAAGAATGACCTTTGATAACTGTCGTCACGTTATTGCTTGAGTATTAAATAAAGCCTTGGAAAACAAAACTATGCAACTGTTTATAAAAATCTGTGGGAGTTATTTGCCACAGTTATTTTTTTAATTACAAAACACTTTTTAGATAAAACTCATATCTAGATTCTATGTCTAAATCTAGTATTTATATTTCTATTCAGTTCCATAGAATATGGAGTTGCTTTCGATGCAGTATTTTATTTTTTGACGGTTAGTTCGACCGGAAGCACGCTGGTAACTACATGACGTAGATCTACATGTAGTCTAGGTTTATGCCGCATTCTAAAGCTGGGTTTGAAAGAAAAAGCTCGAATTGAGATCTACAGAGTTTAACATTTTTGTGTCTGATTATTTTTACAAAGAACACCAAGATGACAAAGGGTGGGTATTAAATTTAAAAAATAGGCCATCCTATTAAAAAAAAACCCAGCATCGCACATCGTGTCAACAACATGCCTGCTCAATAATCAAGTCAAGATGGCATGGTGGTGGTGGGCATTATTATTGAATTTATTGTTGTTGACATGGACGATACACGTGTTTTTTGTCCTGATAGTCTAAGTTAGTAAAACCCCATTTTAGCATATTTTATTCGCGGCTGCACATTAACCTTCAGTTTAGTGTATTTAAAAAAAAAAAACAGGTCTTGAGGAAAATGAAAATGTTGAGAAGAGAAAGCAAGATAAAGTGCCGCAAGCAGTCAAAAACCCCCGCTTCTACCATTGTTTTCACTCAATATAATAATTGTTTGGATGTTCTAAACAAAACGACCACTATCTGCTTTATGCATGTCCATTTCTAAATGCTAGGTTTAATTATTAGGTTTAATTAATAGCGAGGCTCACTAACTTGAAAGCGTCATTGGTTGCTAACCAGAACATGGCGTTAGGATCGGACCATGACTTCCGGCGAGTTTTTCGACTTAGTTCCAGGGACCTCCTTGGAATTACTTTTAAAAGTGTTTACCACGAGCAAAATGGCAGGTTTTCACGTTATAAAAACATGCTATAGGTGGCAAGTCGAAATATGCCAGAAAAGCATTTTCAAAAATTGCTTTGGAGAATGTAGGCTAAATTTAAAGTCGGTGTCATTCAAAATAATATAACTTTTTAAATATAGATCTCCATATCACAAAATTGATTTCCAAAGTAAAGCATTATTAGTTTTATCATTCTATGAAAAAATAAATCAAATATCTTCAACACTTTTTTTTATAAGATGTGTCCAAAAAATGACAACCAAATTTTTTTATTTTTTTTTACCACGTGACCGCTATTTGAATGGATACGTTTACCTGGCATGGTTTTTTATTTTGCTCTTTTGTACAATAAAAAATGTTATAAAATTAAAGAAATAAAAGAATTCAAACATCACTTCTGTCTTGTCTTTTTTAAAATTCTTTTCTGATGACATTCTCTTAAATTTTTTCCCTCTATAAATATATCCCGACGATAGACGGGCCAATTCTACTTTTAGGAACTCTCTTGTAAAAAAAAATTAGATCTATTTCACGGTCAATTAAAAAGTTAAACCCTTCAGCTTTTAAGCAGGTTGTCATGGATGGATCCCTCATACCATAGCTGTGAGTGACCAAAAAATTTAAAATTCAATAATTTAGTCTAAAACTTGCAAATTCCCAAAATTAGTGCCTAGTGGATAAAGTATGGACGTTTTTTATTTAGTTGTCATGTTTAAGTTGAAAATTGAGTACATTTCAAATTTACTAAGAAAATCTATTAATTAATTATGGATTTTTTAAAATAAAATATTCTGTTATTTCAAATACACCATTAAGTTCCTTGCCCCTTAAGAGAACATTTGACACCACATTTAAATATCTAGCTTAATCGGTTGACGAGAAAAGAGAGAATTTAAAATTTTTCCGAGAATGGAAAATGAAAGTCAGAACATCGTTTTTGCTCCTCGACCGGCATAACATGACGTCGTGGACTTGTGTGCACGAGCTTTTAATTCCCGCCATGGTAATTGCGTCAGCTTAGGTTATTTACTCACCGGAAAATAACAAAAAGCAACTGGTTGATAATAAAACTAGATCTAGAGAAATCTAGTTATTTTATTATTTATTAAATTCTACTCTACATGTTATTCATACCATTTTATGAAGTAATGAACACCTGCATAAATCAAATGACCATAATAAATATTTTTATTTCAAATTCTAATTTTAAATAATATGCATAAAATAATATGATAGTAATAGTTAAGAGTTAAGATAGTTTATAAATACAAATACATTTTACACTCAATCACATTATATTGAGTCAACAGTGTGGCAGATGAGGTTCATACATGAGTATTAGTGTCTTTTTTTTTTTTTTTCATCTTGAAAACATGACGTATGTGATTTTTTTTTAAAAAATAAAATCTCCAAACATCGTCACTCGCGTGATTGCGTGCTTATGTTAACTATCCTGTGGATGAAAAATCCCACCACGGTCGCGGGGTCACCGTGACCTATAGTACACGTCATAGAATGAACACGCGTACACGAGATGGTCGGTGTCTTCACTTCTCTCTCTCACTTCCCCCCCCCCCCACCCTTCTTCAAGCTAATTGAAAAACAGACCTATTTCCCTTCTGGTCATTTTTTTTTTTTAAAGCTCGGTCATTTTTTTTAAAGTTCGCATATCAGCCAGCTGTATAAAAAAAAAAAATATTTTTTTTAACTAGATCTACGTCTAGCTTAAAAAAATAAATAAATAAACGCTTAAAATGCCCATAAACAGATTATTTAGCGCCAAAAAAAAAAAGGTCGCTGAACGAGCATTTTTTAAAATACGCAGCAATGAAAAAGGCTAACGGCCAATCAATTAAGTCTAAAAATCGCCCGTAATTAGGCCTAGCGCTGAAAAAGGCCACTGAACGAGCATCACTGATTATATAATTATAAACGAATAGGCCACGCAGCGTTGACCAGGTTAACCACCGGTCACGAATGCAGCAACGGTCGGCCCACAGTGAAGAAAAAATCAATATATTAATAAAATTACTAATACAATAATAATGTCCATAATTTTACTTTTTCCGCACATGCTACAATTGAATAATATTTAATAATAATTAAAATACTAGACTTAACAGTTCATTCCGTAAAAAACAAAAACTAGTTGTTTCAGTCTGGCAACTAGCGTAACAATGACGTCATGATACTAAAAATAGCGGATAGAAATGTCAGCGTGGGTACCTCATTTTGGAATTAGATTTTGGAAAGTAGAATCGATAATACTGTAAATATACATGGTAATTATCTCAATTATATATTAATTTAGTGTTATCAGAGCCGTTTTCCCCCGTTATTGGGTCGTTTTTGGCCGCGGTTCAGTTTTTACGGAGAGTGCTCCACTAGAAATCCTCTCATTATTTACAAACACAATTCTCGCGATTTTTTCTGGCATTCTAAGTCATATTATCCATTTTATTAGCATTTTGTGTTAAAATAATGATGAAAATTGGCGAGATAAACAGTTCTTTAATTTGTCGTGGATAGGACCCCTAAAATAAACGTAGAAACCGTCAGAAAACGACGCGTGACGTTTCAGGGTCAGAGGTCAATCCAGCCATCTAAGTGACGAACCGGCCTATTAATTATTAATAATTAGGCCTATGGATTTTTTTAAATAAAATATTCTGTTATTTCAAATACACCATTAAGTTCCTTACCCCTTAAGAGAACATTTGACACCACATTTAAATATCTAGCTTACTCGGTTGACGAGAAAAGAGAGAATTTAAAAATTTTCAGAGAATGGAAAATGAAAGTCAGAACATCGTTTTTGCTCCTCGACCGGCATAACATGACGTCGTGGACTTGGTGTGCACGAGCTTTTAATTCCCGCCATGGTAATTGCGTCAGCTTAGGTCATTTACTCACTGGAAAATAACAAAATAATAAAACTAGATCTAATAAAAACTAGATCTAGTTATTTTATTATTTATTAAATTCTACTCTACATGTTATTCATACCATTTTATGAAGTAATGAACACCTGCATAAATCAAATGACCATGATAAATATTTTTTTTCAAATAGGCTAATAAATATGCATTAAAAAAAATATGATAGTAATTGTTAAGATAGTTTATAAATACAAATACATTTTACACTCAATCACATTATTATATTGAGTCAACAGTGTGGCAGCTGAGGTTCATACATGGTATTAGTGTCCCCTTTTTTTTTTACATTACATTTTTTTTCATCTTGAAAACATGACGTATGTAATTTTTTTTTAAAAATAAAATCTCCAAACATCGTCACTCGCGTGATTGCTTGATTATGTTTACTATCCTGTGGATGAAAAATCCCACCACGGTCGCGGGGTCACCGTGACCTATAGTACACGTCATAGAATAAACACGCGTACACGAGATGGTCGGTGTCTTCACTTCTCTCTCTCTCTTCCCCCCCCCCCCCCCCTTCTTCAAGTAAATTGAATAACAGACCTACTTCCCTACTTCTGGTCATTTTTTTTTAGCGCAATTTCCATTCTGGAGAATTGCGTTTATTAACCCGTCATTTCTGGATGGATGGATGAATGTGTGTCCGCAGCTTTAAGTCGTATCTCCTCCTCAACGAAGCAATATCGATGACTAGTTCCAAAAGCAATTATGTTAAGCAAGTTACGAGGATGAACATAGGCCATAAAAATTCCGGTTTTCTTTCATGGATTTCCCGGAAAAGCCAAAAAACCTCGATAAAAAGCAGTTTTTGGCCCATATCTCGGCAACCAGACCACTTAGCGACTTGAAACATATACCAACCGATTTCTGCCATAATTTAGAACAATATTGCCGAAGAAAGTTTTCAAAAATATCCTTTCGTTCGGTCACAAACAATTTTTTGAATTAATTAAAATTTGAACCGAATTAGTAGGCATTTTTTCTAACCACACCACACGCGTCATCACGTTCAATAGCTGCGCCATCACGTTCAATGGCTGCGTCATCACGTTCAGTAGCTAGGCGCGCAATGGTTTTTAGTCATGTAACTTTATTGTAAATAAAACATGTATTTTAACCAATGGTTTTACTAACCCTGCTCTTGATTTACGCTACGACAGAGCTATTTTTAGATAACATAAGGAAATTGCGCTAAAATTGTCACTAGACTTTTTAATTACCTTGTTTTTTTTAAAGTTCGGTCATCTATATACTACTAAAAGTCAAGTTTGTTTACATGTTTGAATATTTATTTGTTTTTTTGTTTGTTTGTTTGTTTGGCTGATTGACTATTGCGCATGGTTGCACTCATCGTGGAGAGCTGTAAAATAGTATGTAGGTAGAGAAAAATTTTTGTTTTAAGACAGACTGTTAATCACACATTTATTTAAAGACGTTAATTAATTTATTGATTTATTCAT